CACGATGTATCTCGCTGCATTGCGCAAGTACGCTTCTAGTCTTAAATATAGAGAAAGATAAAGGAAAAATAAGATTTCTTTGTTAACAAGAAAGAGGGAATACTTCGGTTACATTATATACGCACACAAAACCCTCCATCATATTCAAGATCTTTCCCAAAATTCTGAAATCGTCCTTTTCTTTTACCAATTTAGGTATTGTGATCGATTTCTAAAGACACCATGAGTAATCAAGCTGAATCATCTGACTCGTAAGTCATAGTTGATCTCTAGTTCAATTCTTTTTCCGATGTGGTAATTTATGAGTCTATGACTCTGGTTTCTTCATTTTGAGTTTTCTTGTTGCTGTTTGTAGCAAGGGGACAAAGCCGGACTTCAGTACCGCGATTCTTGAGCGAAAGAAGGCGGCGAATAGACTTGTTGTTGATGAAGCCATCAACGATGATAATTCCGTTGTCTCCCTGCATCCGGAGACCATGGAAAAGCTTCAACTATTCAGAGGGGATACCATCTTGCTTAAGGTATTTTAGGGTTTACATGTAGGGTTTTGTGTCCTCTATTGGAATTGATTGTTTTCGAATCTGTATTGGTTTTACTGAAATAGCTACTTGTTTAGTTTTTCAATCGATCAAGGGCTTTTTCTTGACAAGATTATTCCGTTAAATTTGAGGGGAGAAATATCATTAGGAGTTTAAAACTTCGAATGATAATTTCATTTGGTTTGATCCTTTAGGCCGTCAGTCTTTTTTGTAGTTAATCATACATAAATCTGAAAAGATTTGTAAACTCAAGTTTGCTCTACAGTTGGAATACGTTCCAGCTCTGCCATAGGGTTTCACAACGTCGCCAGATTTGTTCTTGCTTAATATCGATTTGATAACCTGTGTTTATTGTGTATTGGGGTAATTTTTCAAATTAGAGTTTGACCACTTCTACAGATTTGTCCTTGCTTAATTCTGATTTGACAACCTGAGTTTATCATGAGTTCGGATAATTTGCAAGTTATATGTGTGTGTATGTGAGAATGAATGTGTACTGCTATCTGCTCCCTTACATAATGGGTCTAACATTTATAATCTAAATGTGTCAATGTCAGACCTTCTTTTTGCATATCACGTTATATGTTTCGACTGCAGGGCAAGAAAAGGAGAGACACAATCTGTATTGCTCTTGCTGATGACACCTGTGAGGAACCAAAGATTAGGATGAATAAGGTTGTCAGGTCTAACCTGAGGGTCAGGCTTGGCGATGTGGTTTCTGTGCATCAGTGTCCTGATGTTAAGTATGGAAAGCGTGTTCACATTCTCCCAATTGATGATACCATAGAAGGTGTCACCGGAAGTCTGTTTGATGCTTACTTAAAACGTAAGTACATTTTTATAAGCATCTAAGAGTTGCTTGATGATTGTGCATTGTAATTCTATCCATGCCAGCATATGTCTCGCAAAAAATCTACTAAGTCAAAATTTTGTAGTGTGCAGTTGTTTACCACTCTTTTTTCTTGTTGGTATTCATCAAATGCATGATATGTACCCTTATGTTGGTAGGTAATGGTCATAATTTCCCATAAACTGCTCATGCTCAATTTGATGCATACCACTTTTGTTATCTTTTAATGTATTTTCTTGGTTATTTTCTGAAGGAAACATGTTCTTACACCAAATTGACATTTTTTTTTCTAATCCGGTCTTTCCCACCTTCATGTATTTGAAAACAAATACTCTTATTTTACTGTACCATTATTGTGTTGAGTTGTTTGTTTGATTTGCAGCTTACTTTCTTGAATCATATCGCCCTGTGAGGAAGGGTGACTTCTTTCTTGTTAGGGGAGGAATGAGAAGTGTTGAGTTTAAGGTCATTGAGACTGATCCACCTGAGTACTGTGTGGTTGCCCCTGATACAGAGATATTCTGTGAGGGTGAGCCCATAAGAAGGGAGGATGAGGACCGATTGGATGAGGTTGGTTATGATGATGTTGGTGGTGTTCGCAAACAGATGGCACAGATTCGTGAGTTAGTAGAACTTCCCTTAAGGCATCCACAGCTTTTTAAGTCGATTGGTGTCAAGCCACCAAAGGGTATTTTGCTTTATGGGCCTCCTGGATCTGGAAAGACTTTGATAGCCCGGGCGGTTGCTAATGAAACTGGTGCCTTCTTTTTCTGCATAAATGGTCCGGAAATCATGTCAAAGATGGCTGGAGAGAGTGAGAGCAACCTCAGGAAAGCATTCGAGGAAGCAGAGAAAAATGCACCGTCCATCATCTTTATTGATGAGCTTGATTCAATTGCTCCGAAGCGTGAAAAGACACATGGTGAAGTTGAAAGGAGAATTGTTTCCCAGCTATTGACTCTAATGGATGGGCTGAAATCCCGTGCCCATGTTATTGTTATGGGTGCAACCAATCGGCCAAACAGCATTGATCCTGCCCTGAGGAGGTTTGGCAGATTTGACAGGGAAATTGATATTGGCGTTCCTGATGAAATTGGTCGTCTTGAGGTTCTTCGTATTCATACTAAGAACATGAAGCTCTCTGACGACGTTGATTTGGAGAAAGTTTCCAAAGAGACACATGGGTATGTAGGTGCTGATTTGGCAGCTTTATGCACCGAGGCGGCACTGCAATGCATCAGAGAGAAGATGGATGTGATTGATTTGGAAGATGAGTCCATTGATGCCGAGATTCTGAACTCCATGGCAGTGTCAAATGAACACTTTCAGACAGCCCTCGGCACCAGCAATCCTTCTGCTCTGCGTGAAACTGTTGTGGAAGTTCCCAATGTTAGCTGGGAAGACATTGGTGGCCTCGAGAATGTTAAAAGAGAGCTTCAAGAGGTATTAATAGATCGCAATCCTTGTATTATGACATATTGAATTACTCTGCTTACCCGTATTTACCCTTTATGCAGACCGTCCAATATCCTGTCGAACATCCTGAGAAATTTGAGAAGTTTGGCATGTCACCATCGAAAGGAGTTCTCTTCTACGGTCCACCTGGGTGTGGTAAAACTCTTCTTGCAAAGGCTATTGCGAATGAATGCCAGGCCAACTTCATCAGCATTAAGGGTCCTGAATTGCTTACAATGTGGTTTGGGGAGAGTGAGGCCAATGTTCGTGAAATCTTCGACAAGGCTCGTGGATCTGCTCCCTGTGTCCTCTTTTTCGATGAACTGGATTCCATTGCTACTCAGGTTTGTTTAGTTGATTGTATGCACTATTTATTGCTATTTTATGGTGACTTGATACTGTTTTTGCTATAATGTGCAGAGAGGAAGCAGTCAAGGAGATGCTGGAGGTGCAGCTGATAGAGTTCTGAACCAACTTTTGACTGAAATGGATGGAATGTCCGCCAAGAAGACCGTCTTCATTATTGGTGCAACCAACAGGCCTGATATTATTGATCCTGCACTTTTGAGGCCTGGCCGTCTTGATCAGTTGATATACATCCCCCTTCCAGATGAGGAGTCTCGTTACCAGATATTCAAATCTGCTTTGAGGAAATCGCCAGTTTCTAAAGACGTAGACCTACGAGCTCTTGCCAAGTACACCCAGGGCTTCAGTGGCGCTGATATCACAGAAATCTGCCAGCGTGCCTGCAAGTACGCCATTCGTGAGAACATAGAGAAGGTAAGTACACTCTTAACTAACATTTTCATGACAAAAAGACTGATGATGGATTCGTGGAGTTTAAGAAAGTTGAAGTTGTATTATTTACAGGATATTGAGAGGGAAAAGAGAAGAAGCGAGAACCCAGAAGCTATGGAGGAGGATGTGGAAGATGAGGTGCCCGAAATCAGAGCTGCTCACTTTGAAGAGTCGATGAAGTTTGCACGCAGGAGCGTTAGTGATGCTGATATCCGCAAGTACCAAGCTTTTGCTCAAACACTGCAGCAGTCTAGAGGAATTGGTTCGGAGTTCAGGTTCTCAGAGGCGAGTGGGCGTAGTGCTGCCACCGACCCTTTTGCTGCCCCGGCTGTTGCAGCCGACGAAGATGACCTCTATAGTTAGGTCACCAAATAACTGTGTAGTTGGTTTATCTATCAGGTTAACATATGTTATATTTTTAATGATGGTTGTGTAGTTGGTTCTCTCTGTGGTTGATATTTTTAATGATGGTTTGGTTTATGATGATGATGATAGTTTGCAATGCAAGTGGTATTGGTTGAAGATTTGAAATCTTAATATTGAACATAATAATTAAATGTGGTGTCAAAATGGCAGCTTTTGGGTGTGTGTACGGCACTAGTGAATTGTTTGTAATTGCGCATCATAGATGCAGATTTTCCCCGCTTACACATTCGTGGGCAACCTTTGATACACGTATATCTTATGATCGGAAAATGGTGATGTTAACCTTTGAATCTTCTCTCTCTCACACACATGTATATATATATATATATATATATATATATATATATATATATATAGAGGAGTGATCA